TTGGGGGTGAAATTTTGGGGCATCCTTCTTTTGTGCATTTTTTTAAAATGTTGCTGAAGCCTCTTTTTAAGTTGCGATGCTGAAAATGGAGTATTGTTGGTATGTACGGTCATTTCAAATGATTTTGTTTTTCATTGGTACATGTCCCCCGTGGTAGTGCCAAGCTTGCCATGGCTTTTTTTACCCCCAGAGTTCAATGGGATTCACCTCTAAATTTGGGCTAATTGAATCTTGAACAAGCTTAAGCCTTTCCCCCTACATTTCAATGGGATTCCCCTCTAAATCTGTATTCATAGAATCTTGAGCAAGATTCACCCTCCTCTAGACTTCAACGGGATTCCCCTCTAAATTTGGATTAATTGAATCTCGAACAAGATTCACTCCCTTTCCCCTATATTCTTATGGGATTCCCCTCTAAATTTGGGTTCATTGAATCTTATGCAAGATTCACCCCCCCCTCCAGAGTTCAAGGGGATTCACCTCTAAATTTGGGTTTGTTGAAACTCAAACAAGATTCACTGTACCCTTGGCAAATGGAACCCAGGCAAGGGTACCAATTGCCAAGGCTGCTTGTCTATACATGCACCCCAGCAGTGGCTGCATTGCATTTCTCTGCCCACCCCCCCACCCTATCTAGATGAGGGGCTCAGCTATGCCAATAACAGCCTCCTCATTAAACTGTCTCCCGATATATAATGACCTATTCAATCACACAAGTAGAAAAACCCAATACCCCGGGTATCCTTTGAAGTCATCTCACGCTGGTCCAGTTTAAGTAAGGTGAATGTCCATTGATATTTATGATGGACTGCACATTGCACTCAGCGCTTTGCCCCTGACGCTGCTCATTGAATAATCCCGGTGAGAATCTTTGTAGTGTCAATTGTTTTCCAAACCGGAAATACAATCTATTTTATAGTTTCTTTTGGGTTTCTCATTCTCCACAAGGACAAAAGGATAAGCAGAGACAGGTCCTCTTACATTGGTCACGACAGACAGAACGGCCATTCCGTTGAGGATTTCCTGCCACACTCCAATGCTGTGCGCCTTCGCCGCATACGGTCTTCTGAACTGCGTAGTGAGCTTCCAGGCGTCAACGCGGATCTCCAGGATGTTGTTCAGAAGGGCCAGAAGAGGGGCCAAGGGGAAGGAGGCCACAAAGAGGGTGATGAAGCCAAACTGAATCACTAGAAGAAGATAACTTGGATCATTGAACATCTCAGCGGTTGGAAATATTCATGTAAATCTTCCGACTCCTAAACACAATGTCAAATTGTTACCCAAATTTTCCATGAAGCCCCCTGCTCTGTATTCGCTGCCATTGAAAGCTGAAAGAGACTTACAGCTGGAGGATCAGGAGATTTAGAAGAACAGAAATGTCCCACCAATAGCAGGAGAGGCTGCAAAACCCAACTGCTGCAGCCTTCCCTATGACAGATACATATTGCCCTGGGAATGATGAGCACACCCTTCCCCAGGAACAAAGGGCTCCTTGTTTTGATGAGCAAAGCTTTATTTAATTCATGTGTGAGAACAATAAAAAGAGAAATTGTTTTTTACGTTGAATGCATAGGATTGAAAGCCAAATAAATTAGCATAGATAATGAGATACATCCCAGACTGGGAAGACATGGAATTAGGGACGCACCGATATATCGGCCGAAAATAGCACTTTTGGCATAATGCCGAAAGTGCCTTTTCCCTGCCGATACATCGGCGCATCCCTGCTTTCTTTACTCCCCGCTGGGCGCTGCCCTGTGTCCCAGCGGGGAGGAGAGAAAGTGTGACAGCCGGCCGAGCGCTGCGGGAGGAGAGTGCTGAGAGTGGCCCGCATCTCCTCCCACACCGCTCAGTCTCCTATCACAGATCGGCAGAGCGGTGTGGGGGGCGGAGACAGGCCGCGCTGTCACAGGAGGCTGGGCTCTCCTCCCCGCACCGCTCGCTCAGCCTCCTGTGACAGCGTGTCAGAGAGGAGAGCAGGTACAAGCAGTCATGTGATCAGTGATCGCTAAATTTTTGTAAATAATTGAGGACAGAGTGTGGTTACTATATCCTCAATTATGAATGAATGGGAAGTGATCTACATCACATCTACATCACTTCCTGTCCATTCATAGTTGTAGTTATAGTAATCACACTCTGTCCTCATGTTATCAATGAACAGAACACTCAGTATAGAGGATTCCTGTTCATTGATAACAGGGGACACAAAACAAGAGATTGAGGACTCTGCGCGTTTCTGGGGACTTTGTGTCCTAAATCTCTTTTTCTATTTTAAAAAGGGAAATATCAGGGGGTCTGTTTAGATCCCCAATATTTCCCCGAAGCCCCTAAAAGTAATGTAAAAAATAAAAATATTTAATAAAAAATGAATAAAAATAAATAT